CGAACCATTTGTTATCTGGGTTTTCGTCCCAAGATCCTGGAACCGAGGATTCGATCTACGATTGCTACGTCAAGGCGAAGAAGAGGGCAGGGTTCAGACCCGAGAAGTCGACTTTGCGGCATCTGATCAGGTACTTGGTGCAATCCAAGAAGTGGGATATGATTTTTTCGGTTTCTAGAGATTTTAGGGATTATGGGGTTTGCCCTGATAGAGATACGTGTTGTAGATTGGTTAGTAGTTGCGTTAGAGGTAGGAAATTCAAAATTGTTAGGGCTCTGCTTGAGGTTTTTGAAACGGATGGTGATGTTGCTGCGGCTGCTTTTGAGGCCGCTATGAGAGGCTACAATAAGCTTCATATGTTCAAGAGCACTATCCTCGTTTTCCAGCGGTTGAAATCGGCGAAAATTGAAGCCGATTCTGGATGCTATTGTAGGGTCATGGAAGCTTACCTTAAACTTGGGGATTCTCAGAGAGTTAGGGAACTGTTTGATGAAGTTGAGAGTAGGATATCGGATTTAACGCCCTTTTCGAGTAAGATTTATGGGATTCTTTGCGAGTCGTTGGCGAAATCAGGGCGTGTTTTCGAGTCGCTTGAGTTCTTCAGAGATATGAGAAAGAAAGGGATTGCAGAAGACTACACCATTTACTCTTCTTTGATATGCACTTTTGCTAGCATTAGGGAAGTCAAATTGGCTGAAGACCTTTTCAAAGAGGCCAAAAGCAAGAATTTGTTGAGAGACCCTGCAGTTTTTCTAAAGCTAATATTGATGTATATTCAACAAGGGTCATTAGAGAAGGCACTTGAGGTTGTGGAAATGATGAAGGGCTCGAAAATCGGAGTGTCTGACTGTATTTTCTGCGCAATCGTCAATGGCTACGCTGCGAGAAGGGGCTATAACGCAGCGGTTACGGTTTACGAGAAGCTGATCGGCGACGGGTGTGAGCCAGGACAAGTGACGTACGCCTCAGCGATCAACGCCTACTGCCGCGTCGGGCTGTACTCGAACGCAGAGGACATATTTGGAGAAATGGAGGAAAAGGGGTTTGAGAAATGTGTAGTAGCTTACTCTAGTTTGATATCAATGTATGGGAAAACAGGGAGGTTGAAGGATGCAATGAGGGTGTTGGCAAAGATGAAAGAAAGAGGGTGTGAGCCAAATGTTTGGATTTACAACATTCTGATGGAGATGCATGGAAAAGCCAAAAATTTAAAGCAAGTTGAGAAGCTATGGAAGGAAATGAAGCGCAGAAAGATAGCACCTGATAAGGTTAGCTATACAAGTATCATAAGTGCTTATGTGAAGGCAAAAGAATTCGAGACATGCGAGAGATATTACGTCGAGTTTCGGATGAACGGGGGCGCCATCGATAAGGCGATGGCGGGAATCATGGTCAGCGTGTTCTCGAAGACGAGTCGGGTCGATGAGCTGGTGAAGCTTCTGAGGGAGATGAACTTAGAAGGAACAAGGTTGGATGGGAGGCTGTATAGGTCAGCCTTGAATGCTTTGATGGATGCTGGGTTGCAATTGCAGGCCAAATGGTTGCAAGATCATTATGCAGCAAAATCAGGCTTTGTTTAAACATGGCATAAGCATAAGAGTGAACAAAATTATCATAAACCCATGTGAATGTGATTGGTTATTGTAAGTAAGTTTTCTTTTTTGGGTTAAATTAACAATAATTTGATTCTTAATCTTTTAAAATCTTCAATATCATCCTTAAAAAATTCTCAATTAGGTCGTCCGAATGTTAATAAAAAGTTGCTGTGTCAAGCTATTACTTTACTAACATATTTGAATATTTAGTTATGTAACTTGAACATAAAATATGAAAGAAATGGATTTTGTTGACAAGAGGAACRTGTTATGAGTTTGACGTATCAAATAGTATTCRAGCGATATATCAATGTATCAAAATATATATAAAAAGTAACAATATAATGATGCATGAATTTTTTAGTGACAAATGTTGGACACTATTTTTTTGGAAGGACCTCGTGAATAATTTTTAATACATTAGATATTTAAAAAAGATTAGAAATCATTTTGTATATATAGCGGATTAAATTGAACAAGATGGAAAGCAATTCATTTAACCATAGTTGAATATGAACTTTTGTGAGCCTCATTATTGTTAAAAATAAAAATCATGACGAATAACATTACGAAAGTAGACAACAAAGTTACCATTACAAATAACATTGCATTAATTAATTCAAACCAAAACCTTACACAACATACGCATATAAAAAGCAACAAGTGGCGAAAGATGGCCACTTTTATTATTCTTAAACGCCACAAACCAAAAAGAAAAAAAAAGGATCTGTTTTGAGTGATAGACATAAGCGATTTGAGATAAAAGATGGTTTCATTCAAGACAGTGCTTTGTGCAGAAGCAGCGGCGGCGGAAGCCTCTGCAACGGCCGCCGTGGAAGCCCTCCGTTTTGCAGACATGGCCACAGTTGTTCTTACTAAAGCATAGCCCCTTGAAGTGCCGGCTCTGAGACTCGCATGTCCTTCCCTCTGCAACCATCGGCGCCATTCCTGCTCCCAACCAAATACTAACTTACCATTTATCTCATGACTACTATTAAATGTTAAAASMAAAGAATTCTTTTTAAAAATAATAATGAGTGGTAAAACATCTAACGATYCAATCATTTAATTTCACTAAAAAAATTATCAAAATTCAYGTGTATATCTCTTGACTTTTGAAATTTTGTCTATTAAATTCTTTAACTTTTAAAATTGTGTATAATTAGTCTTAGACAACTGTGTAATAGATCCATAAAACTTATTAAACAATACAACTCTAAACGTTTTGGCTTCTCATTTGTAATAGTTTAAGTTATTATGAATTCAAGTACAACCTAAAGGGTAGATATTCAAATATATCAAATAATATGTCTTAATTAACCCTATCGAGCTAAGCTCATCTCGGCCAAATGATTCCATTTAGTCATTGTATTATTCTTTTTTAAAAAGTCGTTAGATTACAAGTTCTGAAAAGAGAAAAAAAAAGTGTATGCAAATTCTCTCTTTTCCTCAATATACCTAAAATGGAATATAATGTTAACTAAATAATTTGAGAAAAGACGAAATAAGCTTAGAAAATTAGATGTTATGTGTACTTAAAATCGTAATTTAATATCTGTAAAAAAATCATAATTTAATATATTATAATTTTTTTTACTACAATAAAATTGGGTGAGGATTCAAATTCATGAATTTTAGTGATAGCTACCGAAATCAGTCTAACTATTCTCAGGTTGCAATAAGTTATGATTTTGAAACAAGCTAAACATGTTAAAAAATATATTAAAAAAGTATTATATATATAGTTATGGAATCAAATATAAAAAGGAAAAAAAAAACTTATGTTTTAAAAATAAATATCAAAATTCAAAACTCCATCTCCATAATATTAATACTAATTACATGTTTATGTTTAACTCGACAAAATATGTATTATTTTCTTGCTTTGG